AAAAAAAAAAATTGTGCTGATACTTACATTTTTCGAAAAGTTATAGCATTTTTAAGTTAAAAATTTAAAATCGAAAATTTTAACATAAAAATAGTGTTTTTTTAACAACGGCAGCCGTTTAAATGTAGAAAAAAAAGTGTCGGGACAAATTTTTTTTTTCATTTTATAGTACATAAAATAAGCTTTAATTTGATATATGTTTAAAGGACGTAGTATTTCCGGAACATTTTCAAAAATTAAGTTGAAAAAGTTAGTTTTTGTTAAAATGTTGCTATTTTAAATCCACCCCATGAGCAGGTTAAGTGTTAGATTTTCAAAAAAATGATATCAAATGAAAGGGAAATATCTAAGGTTTTAGTATAAAAAAAAATTATGTTGATTTGTTTATTTTTGAAAAAGTTATGAAAGTTTTAAGAAAAAAAAGTGAAAAAAATGACAAAATTTACCGATTTTTAAACTTGTAATTTTTTTGGATATTTCCCCCATTTGCGGGGAACGAGGGAAAATTTTTCAATTTTTAAGGGTAATGTCTTCAACTAGATACGATTTGTGATCTTTTGACGTATTGTTGAAAGAAATCGGTCCAGTGAGAACTGAGAAAAAGTAGTGACAGGCACAAAAAAAAAAAAATAAACACATCATGGTAAAATTAATACCTTCTCAGCTTCGCATCGAAGCTAAAATAACAATATGATAATTTTTTCAACATTTATTGCATATGTCATATGTCAACTTTAAAAAGTATCAATTAAGATGGTTTTTCTTTAAATTTGATTGAAATTTAATAAAGTACCTGATTGATAGTACAATTTAAATTGTTATAATAAAATGTACAACACTAAAACCAACGTAAACTGTATAAATTGAAAAAACGAATTTTATTTATAATTATATAATATACCTGAAGATCAGCTTGCATACTGAAAGTTCGCCAAAGCATATGTATACGACAATGACCAGCGGCTTTGTCTACAGCATGTGCAACCAACTTAGAAGCTCTTTGTCCATAACATTTCACTAAATGATTTTTTAATTTTAAAAATTTACGATGACTGTAGAGTTCGTTATTTGTATTTTGGAAATTCATTGTTTGATGTGTATTTGGAGGTGTAGGACACCAATTGTTATTAGAATTACAATTATCTAAACTTCCCCAACAAGTTGTTGAACCAGTATTCATCATATAACCATAACTACCACATGGTACACTTGCTGATATTGGAACATTTCTACTTTGGTCACATGATTTATGATTTGGGTATATAGATGTACTATGACTTTGACTTGTATGATTAATTAAACCTGATGAAACTTCTTTTCTATATAAAAAATATAAATTTATACATATATATATATATATACATAATTAATCAATCACCTTTTATATTATACAGAACGATTGATTTAATTTTTTAGAATCTCGATTTGATCCAACTCAAATTTATTTAAAAATGTAGGCCCTATCCAGTCTAGTCCAAATTAAAAAAATTAATCAAGTGCAATCTGAACCATTCGTCTATAATCTGATCTAAAAAATACTACTATTGTAATTAAAAGGTTTAAATTTTTTAAGATTCTCCGATTAAATTTTATTTTTAAAAAGATAATTGTTTATTTGATTTTGTTTTTTTTAATTTGCACAAATATACACAATCCAATATCAATGTTTGGTTTGGCTTGATGCGACCCAGCTCAGTTAATTTTTAATTTATGTTCAGTCAGACTCAGTTTAAAACATGAAATTAATGTTATCCCAGGTCTAAAACATAATATCAATATAACGCTCGACCTGACTTGTAGAATAGGTTAGGTTGAAGTTCAGTCTGAATTAATCTCTGAATCGATTATTGTATTATTTAGAATATATACAGATATATCCATTTTTATAATTTTATAACAATTTTATTGTTATAAAATTTTACGCTATATTTATTTTCATTTTTAATTTTGATTAATTTATTTAAATTAATTTATTCTAAGTAAAAATTTAAAATCACAGTTTTTTATACAATTATTAAGAATTTCTTTAATTTAAAGTATTACTTATCAGTGTAAGATGTAAATTACTTAGAAACATGGATGTGCATGGTAGTCTGAAAGGGCTAGAGATACATTTAACAATGTAAAAATTCTAAAAGTTCTGTTAAATTATTGTGCCGAGAAGTTTTTTTTTTTTTTTTAATTATTAGTTATTGGATTAATATTAGAAGTTAATATTGGATTATTGGATATCAGTCCATCCCTAGTTATATTTATCATTATGCATCACTTTGCTGCACTACTTCTCTCATCTAAGTGTAAAAATATTGATAACTTATAAACTACTAATTCAAAAAAACCGTTATTGACTAGTAATTTTCTTAATTGGATTATTTTCTATCATATAAAGTAGTTAAGGAATGAGCATATAAGAGCGAGTATAGGTGTAGCGTCAATTGTGGATAAGATGAGAGAAAATAGACTTAGATGGTTGGACATGTTATGAGGAGAGAACAATTGGAAGCTATAAGTACAGTTATAGAAATGAATGTTGAAGGAAGAAGAGTTAGAGGAAGACCAAAAAAGAGATGGAGGGACGCTATTGAATGCGATATGAGGATAGCTGATGTGTAGAAGTTTAGGATAAGGGTGGCTAACTCCAAGTAGTTGGGATTAAGGCAAGGAAGATGAAGTAGTTAAATATGTATGTTGGCACCCTTATAAGGGAAAAGGTATAAATAAGTGGTTAAAAAGTATTTAACTACTAAAAAAATGAGAAATAAATACTAGTGATGGGAATTTTTTAATATTATAAACTATTGAATAAGTATTTGAATTTTTTTTTATATAAGTGAGTAATTTATTTTTAGCATAAACTATCAAATATTTTAAAAACTATTTTAATATATTAGGTAATTATCGAATATTTTTACTATTCAAATAGAGGACAACTATCGTGTAGTTCAATAGTTACTATTCAATATTTCTCATCATTAATAAATATTACTTAAATAAGCCTAAAAAAATTCTCAAAACTATTATTATTTTAGTGACCAATGATAAATCTATCAACCTGTATAATATACAGAGTGATTGTTTAATTTTTTTTTATTTTAAACGTTACTTTTCATCTACTACATTGATATTTTGCTTTACAGTTAGCAAAATATAATAAGCAATAATAATTTCATTCCTAGTATCAGATATTAAAGATTGCTTTGATGATAAGGACATTACAAGAGTAGCATCGTACGAACTACAATCTTCATATTCACAATCCAATTTAGTTTCATTATTTTCTGAGTCTGATTCATTTGAATTTGAATTAAATTTTGAACAGCATTTTTTGTTTAAATTATCACTATTTGTCATTTGATGAACTAACACATAATCCTAAAATGTAAAGAAGATATAAAATTATAAAATAGTAATTTAATAATATAATTATTTTCTTTGAGTTTAAAAATATAACACTAAAATTTTACTCACAGATAAATCTGAGTTGGATGAAAAATATTGATCAAAATTATTATCTAGATCTTCACTATCATCAAATAGAGATTTGCCATTACCTTCATCTCCTATGATGTAACCAGAAATTTTAATTATAGATATTCCATCAGAGTCGTCTTGAGAATTACTATTTGATAAAAGATACTCATATAATTGTCGACCAGTAACAGGCATATGAGTGCGTTCGATGATACCTTCACAGAAAGAATAATGTCAAAACTTATTTTACAGGGAGGTATTTTTAATTATCTCTTACTTGAATGAACTAAACAACGTGAATATAATGGTGGTTGCTTATAATATTTTAAAAAATCATTCAAGAACCCAGCTATGGCATTTATTTTACAATCATTAATAGTTTTTGATACTTTTTGAATACAATTTTTATTTTGTACAAGTTGTTTTTCAATTTTATAGTAATTATTGTACTCATTAAATTTATTTTTTATTAATTTATTGAGTCTATCTGACAGAACACGCACATGAAAATCATAAGTAAATGAATGCAAATGCATATTTTGCATAATTTGATCAGAATGATCAAGGAGGGAATACTGAAAAAGAAATGAAATAGTTGTTTTTTATTTTGTATAATAATAAAATAAGAATTTTAATACCTGTTGAAGATCGTCAAAATCATTTTCATTACTATTATTTGTAAGTCTAGCTCTTTCAACACAACTAAGCTTAAAATAATAAAATGGTTGATTTACACCAGTCTCGATTAATAATAATCCACCATTAATTCCAGGAACAGATTTTTTAAGATAACAAGTTGATGTTATTAATGTATCTAATTCACTTTTAGAGCTGTAATATAATAATATTTAGCTTAAAAATATTGAATTATTCAAATGATTAATTATTCAATTAATAAGTATAATTATTTAGTGAATAATAAATAAAAAACATTATTTCAACTATAATCTGAAAGTTTATTATACAATTTTTTATAATAAAAAATTTACTTATAACATAATCTATAAATGAAAAAATTGTTAAAAAAAATTACAATCAAATAATTGTTGAATCAAAAGTTCAAAGATTTGTTAGTTAGATCTGTTCCATTTTGTATACTCAAATGATACTATAGTCTCCTACATCCTTTGAAACCACTTCTTATTATCCCTATGTAATAATTTCTAGTTTTGTCCTCTTTAGTCACTTCCAGAAATATTATTGCTGTAACATTCTCATTTCTCTGATCACTTTTATGATACAATTGTTGATATCCTTGGCATAAATCCAAACTCATTTTTTTAAACTGATACTTGTAATGTGTCTCTATTACTTATATTCAAGGGACGGATTTTTAAGCATTCATAAATTTTGTTTGAGCAACTTTAAGGGACCTAAATACGTGAACTCTGTTGTAGATACCTACAACAGTGTAGAAATGTATTTTTGTTTTAGGTGGGAATAAACTCCCTAAATCCTCTATAACTATATCCCAATTACAAAACATAAAATAATCTTCAAACCAATCAATAAAAATTTGTAATGGACAGAGATGTTTCAAAATAACTTGACAAAAATTTATAAATGCATAAAAAATCATTAGCTACTCATATTTTTTCCTATATTCACACATACTAAGTGATTTAAGTTAAATCTCTTCTTCTTGTTCCTCACCTTAATTCCAATTACTTGGGATCGCCCACCCTTATCCTAAACTTCCACTTGACACAATATTTAAATTAAATCTCTACTTAAGTTTAATGTATATATAGGTGTTTAGTAAGTAAGGAAAGGGGTTTCTATTGTCCTCATTGTGTATAACAATTGACCTGTTTCATTACTTACTGAACACTCTGCATATGGTAAAAATCAAATAATAAGCCAAAAAATTGTATTAAATTAAACTTGAAGAAACTGATAAAATTTTCTAATTTAAATAGTAAAATTTTTGCTTTCTACTTTTTTACAAATTATAAATTTTAAATTGTTAAAAGTAACTCATTTTTTTTTTTACCTATCAATAGAAATATGCTGTTTGCCAACTTGAATTAATCGAAAACCAATTACAGTAGAATGTGTTTCTATATATTCTGCATAAGCTTGGTTAAAACGTGAGCATAACTTTTTATGCCATGCTGGTTGGGAATTGGAAATTTTAGACTTACCAGCCTCTAAAGAGTGATCTCTGGTAGCAGCAGATTCAAGTCGCCATCTTTATAAATATATATAAAACTAATTATTTAAGTACATGAATTGATCTACTTAAAATGGAAAAAATCCATTTTTACTATTTTTATTTAGAAAAGAAAAAATTAAACATTGCATAATTATTTAATATTTTATTTTATAATTCTATTCTTTTGGTTCATAAAAATAAATCTATTCTAAAATATCTAAATAAGATAATGTTTCTACATGTTTAAAGGTGTATATTTATTTTCAAACTGTAGAATATAAAACACTTATTTAAAGTTACTGAAGTTAAAAAATAAAAATTGACTTTTTACTATTCTAATAATTAAAAAAATTTCAATTTGCATTAGTTACCGAGGTAAAAATAACAATGGAGTCAAACAATAATGAAGTAATCTACTATGACGATAAAATGTCCATAATGTTTCTTTTGATATTACAACATCATTTTGAGTCCACAACTCGTATAAATATTTTTGTTGAAGATCTTTAATAGGAGATAATAAATAATTTTGATTTTAAAAAAGGTGTTAATATAATAGTTTAATACATACTGAATCGACGTTGTTGCTTATAAGTTTTTACTAATTGTTCAATATAAATATCTTGAACATCTTTCTCATAATGCAAAGGCTTATTTTTTTTATCATCAAATTCATTTTCATTATGTTTGATACGCCCACTTGTTTTGCATATTTTATCATTAATAAATTTATCATTTTGTGATTCACAATCACCTATTGCAGTTGTATAACTTTTATAATCTAACAATAGGTCTAAACTATTCTTGCTTCCCACACTATGATCGTTAATTTTACTTCCATAGACTCTATTGTTTATTAATCCCATTTTATGTAAAATAGATGAAGTGAATGCTGTACGCCGCCATTCCAACCAATTACATAAACGTTGAATAGCTGAAGATTGATCATCATTTTTATTCCAATTGTATGATAATGTGTGTATTGCACAGCCTGATGCAGTTAACATAATAAATTTACTTATTTTTGAATTAATTGAATTGTTACTAGGCTTGTGATTTTTTTTGTCGTCATTAAAAACACTGTTATTAATATCTTCATCTTGAATAACACATTTATGTTCAATTGCTAATTGTTTCAAATTTGTTAATATTTTTGTGTCTTCTAAAAGTAAAAAAAGAGGCAATATTACTAAGTAAGCTTTTAAAAAAAATTATTTTAGGATAGTCTTTATTAATTTTTTTTAAAATCATTTTCCTTTAAATTATTTTAGTTATTTTAATGAGAAACTATCATGAAAAAGGTACTGTCATATAATCAAAATTTTATAAAAGGGAAAACCTGTTTATCATAACTGCATGGACTTATGATGAGTGTCTTTATGAGTGTTTTCAACACAATTTTTATTCTAAAGAGAAATTTGATCTATTTTTAGTCAGATCAGAAGGATAAATATATATATATATATATACTAATGTTTATATTTCAGTGATATATTTTTATGCATAAAATAAATTATTAGGGTTATAATACTTTCTCAGTCTCTCATCAGATCTAAAAAATCAAGCGCTATCCATTTTTTTGTTCTTTAAAATGATAATAATTTTTTGAATGGGGCACATATATTTACTAACTTACTAATAATAACATAACAGGTTCATAACAACTTTTAAATCAGTATTTCTGTAGTTATTAAAACTTTAAAATATAAGTTGAAGGTGAAGCCTTAGTTTTTATTACTTTACTGTGAATCAGTACTTAGCCATGCTTCTCCTATAACTCAGATACAAAACTACTAATAATTCCTAAAATAATAGTTTAAAAGTTGTTATTAACCAGTTATATATATATATATTTATTAATTAATAATCCCGCGGGGGAATTCGCAAGGATTACGGGCCTAACAACCCCGCGGACCCTAGTTATTTCAGTGGGGGTGGCAACACGTACCACTGCTCTTAGCCGGTCATGACTTTGGTTAGTTGGGACCGGTAGGCCTGGGCATACCTGCTTGCTAACAGCGAATAGGCCCCCCTAACCCAGCCATACCAAGTGAAAGGGTTGCTAACTTGTCACAGGGTAGTTAGCCGAAAGGTAAAGTGACCATTGGGATCCTCTATGGCACCTGGCGCACCATAGAGTATACAGCCTTATCACAGTATCGAGCTCTGCTGTGACGGACCTTTATTTCTCGACTTCTCGTGGGAACTATATGGATAAAAACATAGGAAAACCACAAAACAACGAACTTGTGACGATCAGGGATCCTACGGACAACCTGTCGGAACAAGATCGTGAACTGGCGACTCTTCGCAGAAGAATCGCCGAACTTGAAGGTCTCAATGCCAACAACGGGACACTTGGTGAACCGTCTACTAGCAAAGAGACAACAACGTCAGCAAATGTAGACCAGGAATCGTAAGATCAACTGGGAGCAGTAGCTGACAAAATCGAGGACCTAAAACTTAGACCTGAGAAACTGAGCGGCAGTCAGAGGCGCAAGCTGAAGAGGAGCCGAGCAAACATGGAGGGCCAGAAGAATTTACCAAAGGAGGGAGACAAGGGAACCGATGACTTGAAAAAGTCAAAGGGAACCGAAGCTCAAAAACCTGAGGACAAGGGGCAAGAACCTCCATGTAAGAAAACTCATTGGGTACCGACCTACAGGGACGTGGTAACCGATGATAAAAAAGTGGCTCTGGTCCTCGCAGGCTACCCCACTAACAAGTTGACCACAGAGCAGGGGCTACTCATTGAGTCTTGTGTTGGAGGCTTGATACTGTCGGGTACTGATGGAACCGACGTACCAAGGTTTGAAGACACCAGACTCACTGATGGAGCACTAGTGATCAGTGCAGCCCAAGAGAGCTCTCTTAAGTGGCTCACTGACCATGTCAACCTGATAAAACTTTGGGACGGTGCAGAACTCCATTTGGAAGCCTACAACCCGATCAAGTATAAACGGACGGTCACTCATATACCAGGGCTGCCAAAAGAGTCCAAGAAAATCTTGGAAATTTTGGCAAAACAAAACCCAGGGCTGAACACGGCGATCTGGAAAGTCCACCATGAGACAGAGGTTGGCCCGAAAGGACAAACTTTGTTCCTAAGTGTGGACGAAAACAGCATGGTCAAACTGGAGGAACTGAAGCGCAGTCCATATTTTGGAATGGGCAGAGTTTGCTTCACAGATTATGTTGCCAAGCAGCCACCAGCCCGGAAGGATGTGAAAAAATTCACACCTCAAAAATCTGGGAAGAGGAAGGCTGAGGAATCACCAGTGCCACTCGGGAAAGGAGGTAAGGCACAGGTAAGGAACAAACGGACACACTTCACTCATGCCTCGAAAGGGAAGGGAGGAAGTGTGTTACGTAAGGGAAAGGGACCCAGGAAACCGCCACCCTCAATAACGGCCACAGCTGAGGGGAACCTCTCCACAGATCCAAAAGGAAATGTGAAGAGCGAACCCAAGGCACTGTCGCCACCTGTGGACGGCGGTGGGACACCACCCACAGAGGGGGCTGTGTGACACAGGGAGTGTTTCAGACACCTGTATCACACCCAGTACAGCGTGCTTTCTTAAGAGTCAACATCAGTTTTTCTGAATGGCTGACAATAGAATTCAATTCACGCAAATAAACCTGCATCACAGTAAAGGGGCCAGCAGTGTATTACTAAGGACCCTAACTGAGAGGCATACAATACCCTTACAAATAGCACTTATAAATGGGGACCAGATTAAGGGGCTAAATCTAAGGGATTTTAAACTGTTTCATAAACAAGCAGATAAACCAAGAACTTGCATTTTAGTTAATAATAAAGTTAAAGCCAGCCTGATACTAAATCTATCAAGTGCCGACTTGACTATTATTAGGGTAACACTAAATGATGGTAAAAATATTATAGTAGCTTTAGGATACTTACCATATGAGGTCACAGACCCAGGTAGGGACCTAACTATGCTCTTTAATTATTGCAAAAATGAAAAATTAGAACTAATCCTAGGTATGGATGCTAATGCACACCACACTATTTGGGGGAGCAGTAACATCAACCAAAGAGGAGAGGTTATAATGGATCTATTGCTGACTACAGACCTAAGTATACTGAACAGAGGTAGTGAACCTACTTTTGTTATCAGGAACAGGCAGGAAGTCATTGATCTAACAGTTTGTTCAAAAGGGTTACTTCAAAAGATAAAAGGGTGGAAAGTGTCCTCCGAACCTTCTCTTTCTGATCATAGGCACTTACGATTCACTTTGGAAATTAACAAAGTTGAGACGGAGTACTATAGGAACCCGAAAAGAACAAACTGGGACAAATACAGGGCAGATCTCTCTCGTGACCTGATTAACCTACAGTTTAGATTGGGGTCGAGACAGAGTACTGAAAGGGCTGTAAATATGCTACAGGACTCCATTGTCTCAGCTTACAAAGAAAACTGTCCTTTAATAGAAAGGAAAGGTACAGGGCAGGGTGTAGCTTGGTGGAATGCTAACCTGTCTAAATTAAGAAAGAGTTCACGTAAGCTCTTAAATAAAGCAATGAAATCAGGTTTGGAACAACACTGGGAATCCTATAAGGACGCCCAAAGGAACTACAAATCTGCATTGAAAAAGTCCAAAAGAGAAAGCTGGAAGAAGTTCTGTGGGGATATACAACAACTCCCTATAGCAACTAGACTTCTGCGATCACTAAGGAATGGACCAAACAAAACTGTCGAGGCAATACTACTGCCAGACGGAATGTTCACCAATAATGATAATGAAACATTATCACATTTGATGAATACACATTTTCCTGACTCTACAATTAACAACAGAGAACAGGAACATGACGCACAGGACAAACGAGTGACCTGTGCTGATTGGAGACTAACCAGGAGAGTGATAACCCCAAGTGGAATAAGATGGGCAATAAAAGCCTTTGGCAGTTTTAAAGCTGCAGGCTGTGACGAAATTTTCCCTGCACTTCTGCAAGAAGGGTTAGAGATAATCGTCCCCCATACTGCAAAATATTTAGGGCTNTTAGAGATAATCGTCCCCCATCTCTGCAAAATATTTAGGGCATGCCTTGCCTATGGTTATCAACCAGAAAGCTGGCGTAAGGTTAGGGTAGTGTTTATACCCAAACCTAACCGCACTAACTATTATGAAGCAAAATCCTACAGACCAATAAGTCTTACTTCTTTTCTTCTTAAGACTATGGAGAAACTTATTGATAGGTACATCAAGGAGGGGCCTCTTAAGGAGAACCCTTTACATGAAAACCAACATGCGTATCAAACGGGGAAATCTACTGATACAGCTCTACACTGCTTAACTACTAAGATAGGGAAAGCTGTAGAGAATAAAATGTATGCAGTAGGTATATTCCTGGACATCGAAGGGGCTTTTGACAATACTCCCTTTGATGCTATGTGTGAATCTGCACAACAGCATGGAATAGAACCACTTATTATTAAGTGGATAGAATCCATACTTAAGGAACGCTCCATTTTGGGACAGCTCAATGAGACCAAAGTAATCAAGAGTGTTAAACAGGGATGCCCACAAGGCGGGGTTCTATCCCCCTTGCTATGGTGTCTAGTATTGGACTCGCTTATTAGAGAGTTAAACAAATATTGTTATACACAAACCTATGCGGATGACTTGGTTATAGCAATGGTGGGTAAATTCCCAGACACTATTATTGACTTAGCACAACAGAGACTTAACACTATACAGATATGGTGTAGTAAGTACGGTCTATCTGTTAATCCAAATAAAGCAGAGGTTGTTATGTTCACTAGAAAGAGAATAGGACTAGACAACCTGGACACTCTTACTCTGAATGGACAAGAAATTAGCTTAAAATCAGAAGTAAAATACTTAGGTATTATCTTGGATAGTAAGCTAAAATGGAAATCACATGTTGAGTCAAGAATCAAAAAAGCAATGACCACATTGTGGACTTGCAGCAGAGCCTTGGGAAAGACATGGGGTCTTAAACCAAGAGTTATGTATTGGTTGTACACGTCAGTGATTAAACCTATGATATTGTACGGTGCCCTGGTCTGGTGGACCAGAACAGCACTCATTACAGCTAGGAAAGAACTTAGTCGCATACAGAGAATGGCTGCCATTGCCATCACTGGAGCATTAAGAACTACACCATTGGTCGCATTAGAGGCACTAATTGGATTGCCTTCTCTGCATCTAGAGGTGAAAGCTCACGCCAAAGCTACTGCACTAAGATTCCACAACTTAGGCATGTGGACTTTGGAGAGTGATACAACAGAACATGGTAAAATACTAAAAGAGATAGACCAGGGCTTTTTAGAATACCTTGAACTATATCAAACCGGGTCTTAAGAATAACATTCCCTACAAAGTGGAGATCACTACACGTATAGAATGGAATATTAACCACCTGACTGACAAAGGAGGATTTGTGATATATACAGATGGATCCAAAAAATCAGGAAAGGTAGGTGCTGGAATTTGGGGCTTAAAGCCACGAATAAATGTCAGTATGTCATTGGGCACAACACCCTCTGTTTTCCAAGCAGAGGTGATTGCGATACTGGTAGGGGCTCAGAATCTGCTGGTATACAAAAATAGGAAGATAACTATCTTAAGTGATAGTCAAGCGGCTTTGAAAGCACTCTGTAACGATCAGGTGAATTCAAAGCTGGTCCTCGAATGCAGGGAAACTTTAGAATCACTATCGAGGTTCAACAAAGTTACACTAGCGTGGGTACCGGGACACAACGGTGTCACTGGAAATGAGAATGCTGACTTTCTAGCCAGGAAAGGAGCAGAGAACACCTATGTTGGACCAGAACCAGTGGTAGGGCTCACTGAGCAATCGCTCAAAGCGTTACCCAAGAATTGGTGCAGAGAACAACACAGGAAAATCTGGAAGTACTTGGTAGTACCTAGACAATCTAAAATGTTTATCAAGACCCCTGGTTTATTGCTGGGTGATCTTAATAGCATGACTAGACATCAAATAAGCACCCTGACTGGTCTACTGACAGGACATGGTCACCTGCTTAAGCATCTTAACGCAATGGGGGTATCGGAATCACCATTGTGCAGGAAGTGTGGAGTAGAAGAGGAAGACTCATTTCACATCATGTGCGAATGTGAAGCCTTGTCCACACTAAGATCAAACTACTGAAAAAGAGGATATTAAAAACCTAAAACCCAGAGAGATACTTAATTTCGCCAGAAAGACAGGACTCTTTGGTCATCTTTAGAGGTGACTTTATGGTTGGTAATGTATTAACACTTTGGTGATAACACTTAGGTGGGTAAACCGAATCAAGACAATTCGGTATGAGGTGCGCACAATGGACCAACAGGTCTGAGTGCATGGGGCATTATGTCCACCTCAATAATAACTAAAACTAAAACTATTAATTAATAATATATGTATGTTTTAAAAAAGAAAAATTTTATTTTATTTTATTCTTCAAAAAGAAGTGGTCATGTCTTCTAGGTTTTACAATGTAACTTAATAGCTAGTTTGAGTTTTATATTTTTTATTTTTACTCATATAATACAAAAAATGATTTGGTCAATTTACTAGAAAAAATGTATAGTATAACTTACTTAATTTATATGTCACTTAGCACTATATTTACCTTCTTTTTCACTATCTGTAGCATCATCTTCAGCAACAAATAATCCTTCATTGGTATCAGAATTGATAATTTTTGTTATATTTTGCTGTCTTTTGCGTTTTTTATTGGATTTGGCTTGTGTAATAACCATAATAAGTACAATTACACATGTTGCAGATGGTGGAGTAACCATACCATGAGTTTCTGTTGATTCCCATTCATGAAATAAAAGATCACCCCATGAAAACTTGTCTGAGTTATTTGTATCTAATTGCAATGGGTCCATAATGCCACAAATTAGATTACTGCTTGTGTAATGTGATTTAAAAATACCATATTTAGAGCGTGGTATATAAAAGTAGCGTACAGACAAAACAGAATTATTAGACAATTTTACTCCAGACCAAGATATATGTGTTTTAAATTCTCTGAGTACATGATTGATAGATATTCTACAATTTTAAATAAAGACAAAAAAAATTCATTTATCTTAACATATTTTTGTAAAAATTAAGCAATTCTAATATGTAATCAAAAGCAGTTACATAGTTATTCATAATCAAGTAATAACTTAACAGGAAAAATCAAATTATTAGTAAGAAAAAAAAAACAATTAATTGCACAGTAAAAGTTACAAATTAACTTAAATGTAATACTGTATTTTCATTTTACTTACTTGTACTGGACTTGAGAATGACATGCTAAGGGTGCTGATATTTGTGCTCCAAAAGCTATCCATTTAGCCAAGTGTTTAATATATAATGGGTTTATATAATTCTTAAGTTGATCAGATTTTATTACAACTGGTTGATTTTTTAGAAATTGTTCAACATTTATATCCCATAGAGTATATTTAATAACTAAAGATAACTTTGCTAGTAGGGCTTCCATATTAATCCTGCCTCGACGCCATATATGTATTTTAGCTAGAATTCAATATAACTTATAATGATAATATTTTATAAAAAAGATAAAAATAATTACCACAAGAGTTCATATCTATAGTGATTTTATTAGATGATTCATCTTCAACTAATAAGGGTTTTACATAATCTTCAAAAAAATTTGAGTCAGTTGGAAAGTTAGATAAATCTACATAGTTATTATAATTGTTATAATAAAATTCAAATAAAACACAAGCTAAGCCACGATTTCCACTAGTACGTATGCCTCCAATTCCAGTACTACTTTGTTGATTATAAATAAAAAATGAACGAACAATAGGCTTCTCAAGATAATTAGCATGATTTACAACAAATCTATGATGACGACTGGCGTACTTTGGTGGGTATAATAATAATGCTACTGCATTGCGTTGTAAATTAGTAACAAATGGTTCCTTAATTTTTGTCACAGAAGGCAGAGAAAACTAAAAAAATATAAATAAAATCAATAAATATTTATTAAGAGATAAATAATTAATAATTAATGGTAATATAGTTCAATATTATTTGCACATACTTTTATAATACAATCTGCGATACTATCAATGGGTTGAACAAAACGTACATCATCTGGATATAATCGACAAACAGGATTTCGGTATAGCATTGTTGTTAATACTTCGAGAACTGCATCATTTAATCGATTTTGTAAAACTTCCACCAAATCAACACGTATTTCAGTACCTAATAAATTATTTATATAATTATAAAAAAATTAAAACAAATATGATTAAGTTTCTATTAAAATCGTTAAATAGCTGTATATGCTAGTAGAGGTGTAGCCATTTTTATAAGCAATACAATACAAAGCATACCAACATCAATTAAATCACACTTAAAAGTAATAACTGTAACCATCTAACTTAAAACAAATATTTACCTATGCAACATTTACATACTAACCTATCACTTGAAGACCTCAAACACATAATCAGCAAACTTCCCAAACCTTTTAGCTTCGATGCGAAGCTGAAAAGGTATTGGTTTTACTAAGATGTGTTTTTTTTTTTTTTTGTGTCTGTTACCACTTTTTCTCAGCTCTCACCGAACCGATTTCTTTCAACGATACGTCAAAAGATCACAAATCGTATCTAGTCGAAGACATTACCCTTCAAAATTGAAAAAATTTCCCTCGTTCCCCGTAAATGGGGGAAACCTCCAAAAAAATTACAAATTTAAAAATCGCTAATTTTCGAAATTTTTTCAATTTTTTTTACTAAAAACTGCCGTAACTTTTTCAAAAATGAACATATCAATATAATTTTTTTTTTTATAGATGCTTGATGTCTTTGCCTATCATTTGATATTTTTTTTTTGTAAATTTTACCTTTTTTCTGCCCACAGGGGGGGATTTAAAATGACAACTTTTTCACAAAAAATTAACTTTTTCAACTTAACTTTTGAAAATGTTCCGGAAGGTCTGACACTTTTATATATATCTTAAATTAAAGCTAATGTAATGTACTTTAATTTGAAAAAAAAAAATT